TGGGTAAAGTACTAAGTTGAAATCACCCGCAATTATACATTTATTATTCAGACGACGGAGTATCTCATTTAAACTGTTATAAAATCCGGATCGTCTCTATTTGGGCCATAAAACACATATTCAAGACATATCTATATTTGCTATAGCGCAATGTACAACAATTGATAACAGAGGATATTGTACTTTATCCAGCATTACAATTTTTTTTTCAGAATGATTGTTCTCTTTTACAGATCATTTGTGACAACAATGACAACCTGACTACCGCGCTTTGAAGGCAATTTTTGTGTTTCGTCGAATTTAATAAGTACAATAACGAATTTTGATCTCAAAGCTTTAATTTGATAAACCTTTAAAAAGGTTGATTTAAAAATGTTTCGTGCTAAATATCTTAGCTCTTGCACGCAAGTAAATTCCGCTCTATGAAAAACGAAATGTCTAAACATGTCTTGTCTTGGCGTTGTTGCTGCATATCAACACGACTGATATTCAAAATTAACGATATAAATGCTATTTATTTTTGATGTACACCTTATGCGAGGGGGTCATACGATGCGCACGCATCCTCGAAATTCTGATACTGCGAACACTTTATCATGGGTATTTTGAACAAATACTCATATTTGACTCATTGAGCAGTTTGAGTCAAGTAAAACAATCAGAATAGATTGAAATTTAATTTCTTGTACAAAGAAGATGTTGTCATATTCCAAATGTCTTGACACAACTCTTCCCTTTCGCGTTAAATGCAATTTAGATTCTGGATACTGCATACACCCGACGTTGAAGTGTTACAAAAAATGAGAAATTGTCGATTAAACTGAAAGTTTTAGACGACTTTAAGTTAGTTCATTGTAGAATCTTTTTAATAAAAAAAAAACTATATTTTCAATCTTTGTGTTTTCCTTTGTACGAAAAAAGTCTTAAAATGCACTATTTACAGAAAATAGACATAGACATTATGATGCTGCGTACACTTTCTCCGAAGCAGTCTGTATATTATGATTGGCTAAACAGGTAGCGTGAGTAAAGTATTAAAATACATATTAGATCTTTTTTATCTTCTGGGAAATAATTGTTTGAAATGTATAGCCGCGAAAATTAGAAAAGGTATAGACCGGAATTTATAGTTTCAATTTGTTTACAATTTATGTAGTCAGGTGGCTTTTAAGCAAGTTTAAAAACAAACACAATACGAATAGGAAAGTGAAGGAAATTCAGGTAAATCATTCAGGTATTTGCTTATGTTTTTGTACATTATACAAACTGGGTGTTATTGTAAATAAAATTGAATTGAATCGTCATAGTTTTCTATTTAAATTAGGATGTTTTCAGCATGAGTTCTTGTCACCAAGATCACTCAAAATCAAGATATATTTCCTCATTTAACTACCCTGTTCTCACCTTACTTTATAAAAGATTCAAATCATACGACTTTGAACAAATTGGTTGCCTAAGAGCATAGAGACCTTTTTACGAAACGTATTTCCATAGAAACTGATGTTGTATTACGTGCATGCGCATACTGCGTAGGGTAAAAGGCAATAAAGAAATATTTTATCAGATTGGTATTCAACAACTTCATTAACAATTTTATGTAATGTAAAAGATTAATCATATGTTTAAATAGTTCATTTGATAAATTATAGGTGAACAAAGGTCTGTTTGTGCATTTTTAAAGCACTGCACTTTTAAAGTAGAGGTTGTAAGTACGAACTGTATGGGCAAAATTCACTGTCTTCTTTCATTTTCCACAAAAATGTTCAAAATTCCGTTTATTGGTATGACGCTTCGTATTTGTCAATTAAAGATACTCAAAGAAAAAGCCACATGTTAACAAAGGTCAATTATTTATGACCACCTTGCCGATGTCGTCCTTCATGTTAGAGAATTCGCCACATAATCGGCATACATTTATTTTCTAAAATGAGATATAAATTTGACTATAAAAAAGTTGTTTTTTAATACATTGTAAGAAAATCTTTCATCAGGATAGTGTGTTACATAAATGAGTAAACAAATTTTTAAAAAATATTTTGAGGATGTACAATCGATGACACATATAACTATGTACGCAGTCTCTTGATTTTCTTTGGAGTATTCGCAGTATCATAATGTCTATTTTCTGTAAAAAGCTATTTTTAAGAAATTGTTCGTACTAGGGAAAAATGAAAATATATTTTTGAAATAGATTCTACAATAAACTTCCAGTCGTCTAAAACTATCAGTTTAATCGACCAGTTCTCAATTTTCTCATTTCAACGTCGGGTGTACGCAGTCCAAATCGCATTCAACGCGAAATACTGACGAGAAAGGAAAGAGATGTGTCAATACATTAAGAATACTAAAGTTAGAAGTAAGGGGATCTTCTTTGAAAAACTCCGATCTATTCTGTTTGACATGACTCGTTTTTGTTCAAAATACCGGTTGATAAAGTGTTCGCGGTATCAGAATTTTGAGGATGCGCGCGCATCGTATGACCCCTTGTTATGGTCCTTTTAAAGAGAATTTTGGTTAAGTTTGTCTTCAAAGATGCTTTTAAACTGTCCGTTAACCTACCAAAAATTCACTCCCAATATATAAACTATATATTGTTCTAGGCAAGAATAATCATATATGTGTATGTAAAGTAAGTTATACCTTGACAGGACAATATTTTACTCAATATTTCTTATTCATGTCAAAATAAAGAATATATCAGATACCAATTATTCATAGTTATTCATATCTGAAAATAATTTCAATTCCAATTCTAGCTTGTATGTCCTACCCGCGCATCAGTTTTTTCATCATTGATATAGCTCAAATATGAGCAATTTATACACATTCAAAATCTTTATTATTGCTTTATCATGTATTAAAGCAACTTTAGATAGCGAAGGGCGAGGGACGACATATACTCAGATGATTGAAATACTGTTTAAGTGATATTTATGCGTCACAAAAAAAATGCGAATGTCAAAAAGGGGACATTTTGCGTGTGGAAATATTTGCGAAAATATGTTTTCTTGAATTAAATTCTGTTTTTCTGATATCTTTAATTAAGCGGGTACATGTTAGGAATATGCTGTAATTATTATCATTCTATTCAGTTGTTAAATACCTTTATTAGAGTCTATTTATATGATTGTTTGAAAAATACATTGTTAGTTTGATAAGGACCCAATCACACATTTTTTTTGTCATATTTTGAAACATTTTCTTTTGTTATATGAATAACCTATTGTGTTATAAACACATAAATTGTTTCATTAAATCATTTGCGATTTGTTAAGACCAAACTTAAACAATAAGAAAAATTAATTTCAGTGCCCGAACATTCAAACTTATTCATGTAAGATGCTGTATTTGTAAATGATATGCGTTTGCAAATGATAGAAGAAAGTTTGCCTAAAAGGGAGTATTTTGCGCGAATAAATATTTGCGAATAATTTCAATTCGCAAAAATCGCAAATATGCAGAAAACTTCACTTATAGCAAACACGGTTATAGCGAACTTCCGGTTATGAGGAACAATTGTTTTCGGCCCGAATTTTGCCCTTCTTTATATACAGTTATAGAGAACAGGATACAAGGACTTATCGCCTATATGGAACTCATTTCTTAGTCCCAATTTAGTTAAAAGTACAGAAAATTACACTTTTATAACGAACTCGAAAATATCGGCTATCCGTAAATAAATTCGAATTTTAACTTTCGTTTTAAAACCCGGCCGAATGTACCGTCTATTTTTGTCTCTACTTCAATACAGCTGTGAAAATGAATTTACAAGTATAGCAGTACGATGTGTCAATCAGTACGAAAGCTCATGTATTTGGGGCGGTAATAAAAATATACAAATCAAATAGAGTACTTAAACAAAATTCCCTTAACCACGTGATCTATATTAGTATAGGTCATCTGTCAGTAAAATTCCCCTCTGAAATGCTATTGAGCGCAGGCAATATCAATGGTACTAAACATTTTTTTAAATAATATTGAACGAAAACTGAGAAAAAGATTTTTAAATATGATATATCAGCTTACAAACATAAAACTATATTGTTGTCCTCTATGTTATATACCTATTTTGTGTTTTGTGACAGCATCACAGTGACCTGTTTCTTTTATATATTTACATTTTCTATTTGCTCATGTTTTTGTACATTATACAAACTGGGTGTTATTGTAAATAAAATTGAATTGAATCGTCATAGTTTTCTATTTAAATTAGGATGTTTTCAGCATGAGTTCTTGTCACCAAGATTAAACGGTTATGCCTTTAATTGTATTATTTCTTTTCTTTCATAGTTTTGAGAGATCATTTGTAATCGATTTTCATTATAATCACGCTAATCCATTTACAACTACAAAATACGCTTGATTGAAATGAAAGAAATCTATATATTTCATAAATAAAAGTCACCCTTAAAATTAATAGAAGATATTCAATATAAAAGGAAGGAAAAATCGAAAATCTTGTTTTTTTTTCTTAAACATGGAAAAAAACGAAAAGCACTGAGTTTAGAATCAAAATATGATATTTTTTGAGAAATTGAGAAAGGATGTAAACTACAACTTAAATAGCAAAGTATTTTCGAATTCAAAAAAGTACGATCTCGGGTATTGTGTCTGAAAATGAAATAATTGACTATTTTTTCTTCAACACAATTTTTAATACTTTTCAAAATGAAGGACGATGGTAAACAATCGTTATGTGTAATTATAATTATGCTATTTCAAAATGCCTGTATGAATAAATATTGATACATCTCTATGCACAAAAGCATTGTTGAATGATTTAACGGCAACTTTAAATAGCAGCATATTTTGTTCTTAAAACTTTAATTCTGTTTACGAACGAGTTGTATGTGTGTTTAACAATAGAATGATATTATGATAAATCGACTAAAAATCAACGAAAACAGCATAAAATTTTATTACAAAAAATTGTTAGATATAGTTTTAATACCCCTAAAGCTGGGTTTTCTTAACAAGCATGCAAAGTAAAGTCAACATACCTTTCCATTTTATTATCCCTCCGCCTTTCACAATCGCAGAAATCAAGATATTGACATGCGCGATTCTTTACGCCTTTTATAGGCAATATCGTAACGCTCCGGGTATTTCCATTTGGCATAAAGCCAGATCGGTTGTTAAAGGTGGGTAACCAGCTGTTTTTTATACCCGAACTTTCGGTTACCGCTATAGTTTTACAACGCAAATTACACTTGGGACACCTCTTTTTTCCTGAAGTTTGTAGCAAAAAACGGAAGCAAGGCTTGTTTTAGTTAATTCATTTAAGTGCTAGGCCCCTTTAAATTTGTGTAGGCCTTCAGAGCCTATATCAACCGCTCTCAGGTCACGTCCTGGAAGTACATGCACACAGTACTTTTGATAGATAATGACACATATGCAAGACCTTCGTTTGATCGTACCCAGACAACGTAAATGAAATAGAACCTTCCAAGTGGTGAATAAATGAATATTCGATATGATAAAGACATGGACATTGGGGTGCTTAAATTTGAAATAAAAAACTTGATCCCGCTCTAACAGGGTATCAAACCTGGGTATCTCATTCATGAAAAAATCAAATCCGCATTTTAAATGTTGGCATCTGGTATATGTTACATGACTGAACATTTTTTGAAATTTCAGATTTTTCTTCATTCATGTGAGAGCATTTTATCCAAGACTTATAAATTATGTGGACTCTTGAACTATGTGTCTTCACTGACCAGGGGTAAGAAATTTTAAAGCGTTTAATAATTCCAAGTGTTTTAAAGGTATGAAGGTTTTTTACTAGCTAAATTAAATGTACAATGATTTAGTGTCCTACATTATTTTTGTATATATTTTGCTATGCTACAGTCATAAACATGTCCATAGAAAACTACAAAAAATATGTATGCTTGCATATGAAAACGTTTATTTTTTAAAGCAAACATTAATTAGGAGACACGGGCCTAATTTTCAACTTCTCCGAGCTTGATATCTTTTAGTATTTCAGCCAATTTTAATGGCAGATACCTGTAACTCTTACATACATCTTACAAAACTGTGTTTAAAGTATAAATTTATGGTTTTCATTTTATCAATGGAAACAATATGAAATTTCATTTAATGTGTGTGTTTTATGTTTTAGTTTAATTACGTAACCTGGAAATGAAATATTGCACAATCACTCGGAAGAAAGTCAGCTACTCGAAGCAGACAAAAAGTCTGGCTGGCCTTGATAATTAATTATCGACCCTTGAAATAAGCAAAATTTTCAAATTCATGAGCAAATTATCGAAACCGAAGTTTGCTACCCCTCATCTTAACGTTGGAATAATGAATTCAGAACCGTCCGGCGATGGGTTTATACGGCAGTGGTAAACCTTTAGTGTGACACATTTGTACCATTCAATGAACTGCGACGTGGGGTATGGTTCCTTGAAAAACATCATGCGTCATGAACGAAACAAAATTGGTGAAAATTAAATAAACTTTTGGGATGGCTATGAAGCGTTCATATCTCAGACAGGCATCAAATCAAAAGACAAATCCTCATGGTGACTTTACAATATAAAATTTGGAATATTGGATACACCAAACAATAAGAAAGATTTTTTATAGAAGGAACTTAATATTCCACATATGCAACTGTAATGTCGTTCTTGACAATCTTCAAGGAATTGGAATATAACATTTGTGATGGCAACATTTTGATATATTAAACACGTATTTTGTCTAACAATGCAGTAAACGGGTATAATAAAATATCAATTTCGGTGTAAGTGTCTTTGTTAAGTGAAATGGTCTTAATTTACTTTTACAAATCCAGGGATTGAGCATACTTTATTCTTCTGTCAAATATCCGACCATAGATATCACCTACACGATGTATTAATCATATGCATGATTCGGCTTGTTTTGTCAAACATATAAAAACGTTTTATTTGGTAACTGTCCAGGATAATTTTGAATTTTTTTATTACTTTCACTACATATTTATATTACATCCACATCAATATACCATTGCGTCTCTCTTGAGGTATTTTTGGCGTACTTAAGCCTTACTTTTATAGGTTAATGTATTATTTAAGCAGCGTTAAGCAACATAATAAAATCGTTGTTCAGACTTTATGTCTTCTGTCAACAACTCTTGAAAAAGTCTAGAGTAAACCATCCATACATCATAAACGTTTTCAAGGACCACTTAAAAAATGGTCCACATAGGTTTCATATTTTCAAGTCCACCATAAATATTTGAGTACATCCTATCCGGGGTAGCAGAGAAAGAAATTTGAAAGTCATATATAATTGAGAATATTGCGAGTCAAGACAAGATTCACTCATACTTCGTTACCAAGTCGGCCCCTGACATTCAATCAGGGATGATATACAGTTGACTCTCTGTAAGACCGCCTCCGTGGTCGATGGGTTAGAGTCGATGACTTCTAATCCAGTTACCTCTCTGGCGTGGGTTCGATCCTCGGGAGATGCTTTGGTAGTTTAGCGCGGAGGAAGGTAATCTAGTACTGGTGTAACTCTCCAGGAACGATGGTTAGGAAACTGCCCGCCTATATGACTGAAATACTGTTGGAAAAAGGCGTAAAATGACACAACAAACAACAAACAAACAAGACTCTCTGTAACTCGAAATCCAAGGGACTGGGCATTTTGCTTCGAGAGAAACGGAATTCGAGTAACGTGGATCTGCCGCCATTATGTTGACATGTATATACAAATGTCTGATTGAATATGCAAAGAAGTAGGTTTGTTATTGTTGATAGCGGTAATGCTGCAATATTTAACCGTTGAAATGATGGTTAATCACTAACAACTACAAATTATAAATGAACACAAATATATTATTCAATAACACATTTATTCCAACAACAATTTATCTAATATTTAAAGAGAATTGATCATCAGTCATGGGACGAAAACGAAAGTAGCAACTATCGTGAATCGGAGGCACATATTAATGTATGCAACATGACGGAACATTAATTATACAAATGTAATTTACGTTGATTTACGATCTTTATTGGTCGTTCAGCACGACATTATTGTTGTGCTTGAGGAATTTTTAGTTCATTCTTCTCGACTTTTGTGGGATTTTTCCTGTATTCCCTAGTTGAATACTATTTAAACATCATTAGGATGTGTGGCTTGCTTTTAAAATGTGTCTTTTGACAACTTATCTGGGAAACACAGGTTTCATAACCTCTGATTCGCCCTTTCAAAATTTAATTTTATTTTGTTCCGCCAATTGTTTTCTCGATTAGTGCACACGCATGCTTTTTACTTTGGGGACCATACCCCGCTTAAGTGTCACATTGAAGGTTCCTTGAAAACCGCCGTATGAACACATCTGCGGATCTTTCAAAATTCCAGATTTTACCATTTCATGTTAAGTGTTGAATACTGCTTAAGCCGGTGCTTAAGAGCGTGGATGGTAGTTTGCACGTGACAGTACAGTCCATGAATAGGCTAAACCAAACCGAGCCTGCAATATTCGAATGTGCCGTTTTGTACGTTCTATAGGAAAGCTTTATTTATTTATTCCAATTTGAGTATATTCTTTATCTTCAATCAATGAAAGACGGGTAGATATATAGTTTATATTTAGCGTAAATCAATTGAGTCATGTCATTACTAACGAGCACTTGTCTCAGATAAGGAAATCGGCCATTATAGCAGTAGAGCTCTCTTGGAAAAAAGACAAAATCAACACCTTAAGATCTTAAAATCATCACTGCGAATATAGGACAAATCCTCCCCCCACGGAAGATGTTATAGTAGACTTAAGCCACCCATCAAATTACATTTTCTATGTTTCTAAATAAAATTTCTTAAAATTTCAATTTAGTTGACAGTCAGACCTTTAAACCATAAACATGTTTGTAGGTAATGGGGGCTTTTGTCTTGTCCTCCCATGAATTTAACAAGGTAAACAAAAGCCGTCCCATGAAATTTTAAAGGGAGGACAAAAGTTCTTACATCTGATCTTAGAGTGTCACATCTTATATCAGGTATTATTGTTGCAAACCTTTCACAACTGCAGACACTTATTGTGTCTGTCCTCTTTGTTTTTTGTTCGTATTTCCGGCCGTATAATTTCCATTGTTTGACTTGTTGAGCGATCACCCTCTCCCATTTTCGGACGTAGGGTATGTTTTACCTGTTTACAGCAATTTTTGTCGGCTTAACTATTATACCGAATCCTGGTTTGCAAGCATTTACATGTTTCTTTTAGTCAATGTAGTATCTAGATGGAGGTGGAACTACCGAGGATACATTGACATGTGCTCTGTTGAAATGACTCAATTATCAGGAAGTGTCCCCACTCATTAGATGCTTTCTGAGAAAACACATTGGGTGCAAGGTTAGAGTTGATGGTGGATGGCTAAGATACCGCAAGTTCTTCTTTTCAGTCTTCCTCTGCCTTCACCTTAAATATACGGCGTTCTCTGACTGCCTTCTACCATCCTGACATGTTTTCTTTTGGCTACTCCAACTAATCTGATTGGTCAAAGGTATCCCAACTGGATTTTGTCTGTAGCGGGCGGGTGCCTTGTTTGTTCTTTACACTTGGATCTGCCTCCTGTTTCTTAAAGTGTCGGGTTTTCGATCTTACGGTTGCTTGTTTATCTTTATTATTGATTCTTATTTTATATTTTCTCTCATATTAACATTAATTATTGCCGTCTTGCCCTTCTGTACCCTGAGCATTTAAGCTTACAGCACCGTTGTGTCTCAACGCGTAGACCGTGCGTCGCCAAAAAAATTATTTGGCAGCGTAGCCCATCTCGGTGTGATAATCTTCAAATCGCTAATTTGAAGTTTGAGAATAGTTTAAAACGTTAGCAAACACTTGTTGTCATCGTCCGCATTTAAGGCAGTAACAATTTCATTTTTTTCGCTTGTCAATCATCCTTTCGGAGAGGCATTTATCCATATATCCGTCAATTGCAACGTTGTATTTGTACTACCCAATCGAAAATTCACTCTGGTCCGCAAAGCATTATCCCAAATAGGTCACTGTTCTTACTCTGTTGTCTCTC